CTTGAAGCAACAGACAGAGGCCGAGTGGGAGCGCGTCGACGTCGGAGTCGATTCGTGCGCAGCCACCAGGTACATCCCTGAGAACAAGGCAGCCAGCTAGCCAATGTTCAAGAGCACGGGGGCCATAACCTACACGAGCGTTGCCGGAACTCCGGTGGAGGTGCTCGGCACTCGCAAGCCGCTGGTGTGGTTCCAACATGGCTCCCAACACTCTGTGACCCTCAAGGTGCTTCGTCCGCTGCGCAAGTCTCTGTTCGCCGTCAGCGAGCCGATCAGGTCATGCAAGGTTGCGTTCGACACTGAGGAGTATGGCGGCTCGTACATAGAGAACAGCAAGACCAGCAGCAATATCAATATCTATCAGCGCAGCGGTGTCTTCGTCATCCCGCGAAGATGATTGCAGCTCAGTGGGGAGATCGGCTGGAGACCGACCCTGTCACGAGGCAGCCTCTGATGGCGTGAGACCAGAGACCGGCGCGGTGCAGGATGCCGTTTCGGCTGTTGCCAGTCGGAACCGCGCTGGGCGGAGTGCCGTTTCGGCGCCTGCCGCAGGCCAGCCTGGCCCCCCTGAGATCGACGAGGCGTTGCTGCAGCCCGCGGAGGAGTCCAAGGGCTTGGTGCGCGAGCCTTGCGACCCGGAGGAGGATGCCGAGGTTGGGTGGCTGAAGGCCTTCGCGAAGCCATCGCAGGCCGAAGTCGACCAACAACGTTTCACACTTGCCTTTCCGGTCTTGGCACCGACGCTGCGTTCAAGGTCGCGGCCAGTCGGCCGGTCACTACCGCGTGGACCGCGGCCAGGAGCATATCCCCACCATCAAGATCGACTGCGGGTTCTTGGGCGACAGAGATTCGCCTGCCAGCGAACTGCCTGTTCTCTGTGGCCGTGACCGACAGAGCAAGACAGCGCGGTCTAGCCCCGTGCCCTGCAAGGGCGTGGAGGACCACCCCCGCGGCTCGAGCCGTCTGAAGGAGTGGTTAGAAGAAACGGGCCGCCCACGAGTGATTGTCAAGTCTGACCAAGAGCCTGCTATCGTGGCTGTCACCCGCGCCGCCAAGAACGCGTGAACGGGGGGGCTCATCCCTGAGGCCGCTCCCAAGGAATGCCATGAGAAGTCCAACGGCGCGGCCGAAGTGACCGCGGAGCAGGCGCGCGGCTTGGCCCGGACCCTCAAGGAGCAGATCGAAGACAATGCGGGCGACGAGCTCCCCAGAAGCATCTGGTGCTTGCCTGGTTGATCGGGTACGTCGGCGTCTTGATCGCGCTCTCTGCCGGAGGGTCTGATGGATTTGCGCCGTATTTCCGCCTCGAGGGCAAGCGGTGGAGAGCGCCCATGCCCCTGTTCGGGGAAAGCGCAGAGTTTAGCAGGCCAGGCATGAGCTGGAGAGCCGATGGGCCCCGGGGGTCTATCGCAAGATCCGGCGAAAGACGCCGGAGAAACTCGCGGGAACAGCTTGGCGCGTTTCCGTGGCGCAGTTGCTCTGGAGGAAGCCGCGGGGCGAGGCTTGGGACAAGGCCCTGCTTCTGCCCATCAGAGGGGCGCCGTGGCTGCCGAACCCGAGGGCGGCCGGTGCCGCGGAACTGCCGCTCCCGATCGAAGTGGCACCAGAGTTGCCAGATGTGCCAGCTGGGCCCGCCGCGGCCTCCAACGGAGAGGCTGAGCAGAGGCGCCTCTGCATCGCCAAGAGCGATTTGCAGGGCCCGCGGATTGGCAACGCTGCCGGATGTCCAGCGCGCGACGCGACTCGACTGGGCTTTCGAGGTGCAGGCGTGCAGGCAGCGGATCGAGACTATCTTGTTGAAGTCCACGGACCCTGCTCACCAGGCTCGCGTTGAACGCCACCTGAAACAATGCCTGAAGAGAGCGCAGGCTGCTGCAAAGGCGGCACCTGCAGACAGAGCCGCTCCAGCGGTTGCCCCAGCGCCGGCACCGCCAGCGCATGATAGGAGCAGCGAGCTCGACGACTCCAGCCGATCGTGATACGGTTCCTGCACAGGTACCAATGGAAGTGGAAAGTGTTTCCACCGAGTCCCTGGCAGAGGACGCCGTTTCGGCCCCCAAATCCTTTCTGCAGGTGGGGGGCCCAGGCCAGATTTCTGCAAGGTGGGCGGCCCGTAAAAACCGATGCCCAGAGGCTCTGTGATGCGAGGTGGGGGGGTTGGGGCGGGGGATCCGAATCAGGTTCTTGCAGGGTGGGGGGCTCCTGAGAGCCCATGCCAAGAGGCCCCAGGATGCGGGCGGTGCGTCGGGCATGGTGGGGGTCCGGGTGGGGGGTCCGGGTCAGATTTCTGCAGGGTGGGTTGCTCCTGAAAATTCATGCCTACAAGCTCCAGGATGCAGGGGGTGTCGAGCAATGGTAGAGGCCGGGGTGGGGCTAGTGAAATTGAGGATTGGTTAAGTTGAGGACAAGTGGAGTTGTGGGCGCGAGAAGAAGATCGCGCGCGCTGTTGGCGGCGGGTTCTCGACGTCAATCGGGGGGCTCTTGACCACCTCGGGGCCGTCTGGGCGAGCCTTGAAGCCGTCTTGGAGTCGTCTTGGGGCGGCCTTTCGAGAATCGCCAGGGGCCCCACCGGGTGGCAAGAAGGCGTTCGAACGCGCTCTGGCTCGCCCCAGGCACGGTGGTGGGCGGGCGCAGTCACGTCGCTGAAACAGGAACCACTGTGGGTTCAGGAGAGGCTCTTGTTATCGGGCCGTTCCTTAGATCCCATTCGGTCGGGGAGTCTCGTCGTGGCCGAGATTCGAAGTGGCCAGTCGTATAGAATGACAATTGAGAAATGCCGAGGGTGCCCGTCACGCAGCAGCGCCCCGGCGATGATTGATGCGCTGGGTTCCAGGCCTGCCTGCTTGTGGGCGTCGTCGTCGTCATCGCGAGTTCTTGACCGCCATGTTGAAAATCTGTCCCTTCGGCAGAAAGTTATGCTCTACTCGTCCCCCGTGTTTGCAGCCGTCGTCCCACGAGGACTCTTTGGTGCATTCCCGTGAAAAAGGTTTATAACAAAAGTGGCAAAGGGACGGGAGCCGAAAAGGCGTTTCATCCGACCAGACGGAACCCGTCGCATCAAGCGACATCCGCCTGTCAATGTTTCGGAAAAGCGTCTCGTCAGCATTGCGCGTTGCATGTTAGCCATCCGGCTGGTGGAAACGAAACCGCAAGGCAGAACGTGGAACCGCCCACGCCAGCGGCCTTGTGAAAGATCAATTCGGACGAGCACCCGGGCATTAAGTTGCGTCCGCCCCCCAATGTTGCCACCGGGCGCGCAAGCCAAAGTGCGGCGTATCAGTGGCCTGGCCCATGGTGCGCGCCTGCGCGCGCTGCCAACCATGGGAGGCGAGTTTTACTTCATGATCCTCTTTGGGCGTTGCCGTCTGCAGATCATTCACGATGATCGTCTTCTTGATTTTGTTATAACCTTTTTCCCTGTTTGCGTAATCGATGGAAGGCCCCCTCCCCCCTTCCGAGGAGGAAGATGAGGAGGAACATGAGGAGGAGGACCAATGTAAAACCAAGAGTCGTCAACGATGTTGGAAGGAACCCTCCTTCCATGCTCCGTCTTCATAGCCCGGCTATTTCCATTGATGGAACTGCCTCGTTGGAAGACAACCGTTTGAAGATCCTGAAATGTGCTAAAACATTGTTCCTTGGATTTCAACGCCACGTATCAACCTGACTGCTGCGTCTTGACGGTCCGGAATCGTGCCAAAGCTCCATCTCCAGGACTTCAACACCGCGAATCAACATAACTGCTGCACCCGCATAGTCCAGAATCCATCCAAAACACCGTGTCTGGTACGCTGATCACGGGAACGTGCGAAACTCTTGCAAGTGTTGAAAACGATATGTGCGCGGCGCTAAGGCGAAAGCCACTTGTTGAAAATGAGCCGCCTTCAATCCGTGAGACGCTTGCAAAGTTTGAAAAACGAATGTGCGCGGGGCTAAGGCGAGAGCAACATTTTGAAAACGACCCGCCCTCAATCCGTGAAGCTTTTGCAAGTCTTTACGCCAGTGTGCGCGAGGCTACGGCGGGGGCAACACTTTAAAAACGACCCGCCTGCAATACGTGAAGCTATTGCAAATGTTGACTAGGAATGTGCGCGGCGCTCAAGCGAGAGCCACATTTTGAAAACGACCCGCTTTCAATCCGTGAAACTCTTGCAAATGTTGAAAACGAATGTGCGCGGCGCTAAAGCGAGAGCCACATTTTGAAAACGACCCGCCTTCAATCCGCGAAACTCTTGCAAATGTTTAAAGCGACTGTGCGCGGCGCTAAAGCGAAAACCACATTTTGAAAACGACCCGCCGTCCATCTGGGAAACGGCTGTCACCTCTTAAGCTTCAGAACCAGAAATGGTGAGGAAGTCTCAGGCGAAACGCCCCTCCCGCCCTAAAAAGCTGGTTTCGGGGTGCGACAGGGAGGAGTCATTTATAAGGAGAAGGAATGGGAGAGGAGGATGAGGAGGAGAGTATGCCTCCCGTCCTCTTCGGGGCCCTCGGGGATGGCCTTCCCCTGGGGAGGCACAACCCTGCCCCTCGGGCGGGGAAGGGGGCGCTGCGACAAGGACGCGTCGGGCGAGGGAAGGGAACGGCTGTGAGCGCCAGGAGGCGTCGCCCGAAGAAGGGGGCGAGTGAGGGAGAGGGGAGGCAGATCGTCGACGACGAGGATCGAAGAGGAAATACACGGCACAAACATAACAAACAATTCGGAGGTCCGCGCGGATGTCATGTATCGGTGCCAGTCCCGCTTTGCTGGTGCGCGGTTCTGGTGCGCGGAGGGCGCCAGAGGGGTCACCGCGGACAAGTGTGAGGACCAGGACGAGGACAAAGAGGAGGAGGAGGAGGAGGCGGAGGAGGAGGAGGAGGAGGGAGGAGGAGGGAGGAGGAGGGAGGAGGAGGGAGGAGGAGGAGGAGGAAGGAGGAGGAGGAGGAGGAGGAGGAGGAGGAGGAGGAGGAGGAGGAGGAGGAGGAGGAGGAGGAGGAGGAGGACGTTGGGTGCCCCCGCTCAGGCAAGATGGGCACCTTCGTGCAGTCGATGCCCACGGGTCCCAGGGGGTGCCCCTGCCGCGCCAGGCCCAAGGCCTGGTCTCTTGCCTCCTCCGCCTCCTCCGCCTCCTCCGCCTTCTCTTCCTCCTCCCTCCCTCCCTCCCTCCCTCCCCTTCCCTTCCTTCCCTCCCTCCCCTTCCCTTCCTTCCTCCTCCCTCCCTCCTCCCTCCTCCGACCTTGGTCATCCTACCTCCACCCTCCTCCTCCTCCTCCCTACTCCCCCTCCTCCGCCTCCGCCTCGGCCTCTTCTTCCTCCTCCTCCGCCTCCTCCACCTCAGCTCCTCCTCCTCCTCCTGTGCTGTGCTTGATGGCTGTAGTCATCCCGCCGCCGCTTGACTGGGCCGTCGCGGGCCCGAGCGCGATACCAGGGAGATGGACTACAGCAAGGCGTGGCCAGTATTTCTCCCTCCTTCGAGCTTCGAGCTGCGGATCGGTTTGTCGATGACGACTGAGACCCTGGATTTCTTCGTCCTCCCCCTTCTCCTCCTCCTCCTCCTCCTCCTCCTCTTACTCCTCCTCCTCCTCTTCCTCCTCCTCCTCCTCCTCCTCCATCCCGCGCCCTTCCTCCTTTTTTGCAGAGCTAGCTCTTCATCCGGCCACCCAGCAGATCAAGGCTGCGGGCGTGCTGCAACGGAGGCCAGAGTTGACGCGCAGGCGGCAGGGACGTGGTGTAGCACGCAAGCGTGGTTGAAGGAGGAGGAGGAGGAGGAGGCGTGGGCGAACGGAGAAGCGGGAGGACGCGGCTCCGGGAAGACGGCGGTGAGAATGGTAAGGCTTCGGGTTGCGCCCCAGGGTTGAGACCGCCCCAGGCTACTCGGGGCGGCCTGTTGAGGCCAGCCGGGACTACCATGGGAGATGTCTGTGCGCAGGCCGAGCGCAGCCTCACCAGGTGAGGACGGAGGTGGAGGCCGTGGGCGAGTGCGCAACAGCCCTGGTGCCCACACAGCTAAAACAAGGGCAGCCCCCAGGGCAGCCAGAGTCGAAGAGCCTCCTCATCCTGACCATGCGTCTGCTTCCCTTGCCTCCCCGCAGTCTCTCGGGCTCAGAGGGTGCGGGACGCTCATGCAGGGTCGGCGAATGACTCTTGCCGGCTCTGCAGGAGCCAGGCCATAGTCCGCGATGCCTTGGGAGGCGGATCAGATCTTAAACGCCCTCCTCGAAGACCAGATCGAGAGCGTCCGGAACAAAAGCGAGCTGACCAAGGCCCAGTGCGAGTCGCTCTGCGAGAAGGCCCGCGAGGTCCTGCAGGAGGAGTCCAACTGTCAGCCGGTGAGGTGCCCCGTAACGGTGTGCGGCGACATCCACGGCCAGTTCTTGGACTTGAAGGAGCCGAGAGGGGCTGGAGCTTCGGACTCCTCGGAGCTTGGCCGAGCTCCCGCCTCGCCAAGTCGATTCGGCTGGGGGCGATCGTGAAGGAATGTGCCCAGGAGGCCTCAGACCCTGAAGGATTCCTTCTCAGAGGAGGGCGGCGGTGATATCCACGGCCAATCCAGGGTTGGCCATGGATATCACCGCCGCCCTCGATTGGCACTGGCCGCGGATGTCCATGGCCATGGATATCCAGGCTATCCAGGGTGGCCATGGACATCCAGGATTGGCCGTGGACGTCCATGGCCAATCGACGGTTGGCAATCCTCGATTGGAGCTCCGCTGGCTTCCGGACCCTGGATGCCTCACAGTGCGCAAGGGCTCTCTCATGGCCCGTGTCTGCACCGCAGCGGGCTGTCCCCATTTGTCGGCTCCCGCGGGGGCGGGGCGGCGCAGCTGCGGGCGGGCCGGCGCCCGCCAGGTCTGGTCCCGGGGCGTGCTCATTCACGGGTGCCCTGCCCCAGAGTCGCGCGGTGGCGAAGCGTCCTGGCTCGCCGATAGGCCCACCCAGTAATGTCCCAAGAACCTTTTGTGGTCTGCAGGAGATGTCATTAAACAAACATTGTTCTTGTGAGTCGATCAATTTTGGTTTCTGAGAATATGTCGTGATTGCCTTCTGGGAATGCTGGGACGGTCGGTCCCTGCTCAGCAGAGATCCGACGATGCGACAGAAATCGGGGCGGGCGGCTTTGGGCCGTTCTTGGCCTCCTGGGGGCCCTCGCTGGGCTTCGGGAGCGTGAAAGACCGGCTCGGGACGAGAACCCGGCCCTGGGAAAGATGCCCAGACTCGGGCGGGTGGTAATGATGGGGGGGGGAGTGGCCCGGGGGGAAGTAAGAGGCCCTACAGTGCCGTTTTGAATGCATGCTCCGCGTGCGGATCATGTCTTAAAAACGCAGGGATCTAGTATTAAAAACAACGATGAGTTCATGCATTGACTTACTAGTAAATCCATCATGTATTAAAGTGCTATATTTTACAAATCCAATGTCATAAAAAAACTGCCCTGTGACGATGTGGGGGGTGGCCCGAGGGGGGAAGTAAGAGGCCCTAAAGGTGCCTCCCAGGGCCCCTCTCGGAGCCAGCCGGTTCCCCCAGAGGGGCCCTGGAGGGCCCTTTCTATTTCGTGCCCTTCTCTTCCGTCTCCGCGTGGGCCCCTTTCACAGAGCCAGCAGGTGCCCGAAAGGGGCCCTAAAGGGCCCTTCTGGTGCCCTTCTCTTCCTTCTCCATGTGGGCCCCCCCCCCCATTAGCACCCGCCCGACAGACGTTCCAGGCCCACGCACTGAAAAAAGGCAGCAGCCGGACGTCTGGAGCGAAAGGCGGATCCTGTTCCCCCTCCCCCCCGGACTTTGGACGTCCGGAGGCGTTTCCCCCGCCAGCGCGAGACCATCTTCCTGCATACCCCAAGCCTCCTCCATAGTTGACGCCCCTCGCACCTTTTCTTCTTCATACCCCTCTGCGCGCAAGCCAGACCGGCCAGTTTGTTGGTGCCGAGTTCTCTCGCAAGACCGGCATCTTTCGGGGCTGGACAGAACCCCCAATAGTGACACATCGATTAGTGAATTGTCCGTTTTCGGTTCTCGAGAGGGCGCCGTGGCCGTCAGTCTCCAGGCTTTCGCCCGCCAGATTTGGGCCCGAGGTCGTTTTCACTAAACCACGTTTTGCTAAAGGGGGTTCTGTCCATCCCCGAATCTTCCGACCCGAGAGTTCTGCGGCAAGGTGTGCAGTCTATGTCTCTCCGTGCTCGTGGCCTGGCGCGGGCGGAGAGAGGCCGTCCGCGGGCGTCCAAAGTTGGGGTGTTCCCGCGCTCTTCCTGGCCCCCCTTTCGAGGAGCTCTTCTGCATCGGCGGGTGCCCTCCGGAGACGAACTACCTCTTCCTGGGCGACTACGTCGACCGCGGCTACTACTCGGTCAAGACGGTGTCGCTCATGTTCCTCTACAAGACGCGCTACAAGGATGCGCAGAAGGCGTCCCTGTGCCACCGCCAGGCCGGACCAGGGCCACCCTGGGTCCTGGGATGGGGTAAGGAACCTTCGGGCCTCGGCCAGGAGGGCGTACACGCCATGCCAGGGCCCAGGATGGCCCTGACCAGGCATGGTGGTGGTTGTGTGTACATGCCTTTGCCCAGAGGAGCGCTTCACCGTGCTCCGCGGGAACCACGAGAGCAGGCAGATCACGCAGGTGTACGGCTTCTTCGACGAGTGCATGCAGACGTATAGTTGCGCGGACGTGTGGAAGATGTTCACCGACACCTTCGACTACCTGCCGGTGACGCTGGAAGAGCAGTGACGAGGAGGAGGGGGAGGGGGCCTCGGCTACACGCAAGGTGGACCCCAGTATCCAAGAGGCCTCTGGCCTTTCTGCTTGCCCTCCTCCCTCCTCCTCCTCCTCCTCCTCCTCCTCCCTCCCTCCCTCCCTCCCTCCCTCCCTCCCTTCCTCCTCCTCCTCCTCCTCCTCCTCCATCTCCGTAGCCATTTTGGCTCAAGGCCCCTCCGTCCCGTTGCAGCAGTAGCGGGGGACTGCGCCGAGAGCGGGCAACCTTTCTTAAGGATTTCTGGCACGTCGGGTGCCAGCGGACACCTTTCCATCACGAATTTCCTTTTTCTCATTCCATGGGCCTCCGCGGCCGCGCTGGTCCTGCAGCCGCCGACGAGGACGCTGACGCCAAGAGCAGGAGCGGCGAACGCAGGTCTCATCGTGCTGGAGAGCGAGACGATCTCCAAGAACAGGATCCCTGGAAGCTTCACCGAGCTGCAGCAGGACCTCATCCCTCAGCTGTCTCGACGGCTGGTAGCTCGTCCAGTGGTGGCTCAGTTGGAAGCAGCGTGGGCAGTATCGTTAACAAGCACATGGAGCAGCTCAAAGGTCACATGGCCAAATATATGGAGACAACCCTCCAGGACACGATGCAGTCTGTATGCGAGAAGCTGGGCACGATGGTGGCAAAGCAACTCCAACCCCATGTGGAACGCCTCGACAGACAACATGCCCAGCTTCGAGCGGTTCAAGTCAAGAATGAGGAGCTCGGCCAAGAGCAAGAGATCCTCAAGGCATCGGTTAAGCAGCTGCAGGACACCACGGCCGTCGCAGAGCAGCAGGCAGCGGCACCCATCGACGTGGCCAAGTTCATGGAGTGGAACCGCACCGTCGACCCCTCAGTCTTCATCCTGTCCTGCGATGTGGCGGCAGCTCCGAATAACATATTCAATGCACTCGACGAATGGTTGCAGGCAGCCAATGTTTCCAGGGACCAACTGCGACTGGTCGGCGACACACCGCAGAAGAAGTTCATCCTGCAATGCATCGGATGGGGCTGCTGGTATTGCTAGAGCCATTGCACTGCAGACATCTCTCAAGTTACCCAATAACCAAGGCTGGCGCCAATTCGAGGTGCTCGCTGTCAGCGGAGCTTGGATCGCCTTGTACGTCAACCCAGACAAGAACGCCAAGGACACTCGGAAGGAGGTTCAGACCAAGAAGCTGTTGGGACTGGTACGGACAGCTGCGGCATCTTCGACGGTGGCTAGCACGCGTACTTCAGAATGCTGGGCACGGAGACCGAAAGGACTGGTCTACATCGGCCAGACAGCGATCGTTTCGGTGCAGGTTCAAGGTCCTGAGGAAGCTACGAAGCTGGCATGGGACACACAGGTGGCAGAACGGCCCGACATCGATTGGCAAGCAGTCGCCACTCAATTCAAAGGTTTGTGGAAGGAAGTTGACACATCAGATCGGTCGTGTTCCTAATCAGCGTTTCGCACCGTGGGAACTCCAGGCATCTTCGCACCACGTCGGCATTGTCTGCTGGAACGCCCACGGACTTCTATTGCGTCGGGATCCTGCACGGCGTCGCCGAAAAATTGCAATTGTGGCGGACCTTCTTCGCAAGCGTAACGTTGTTATCGTTCAAGAGGTCCATGGCTTTGGGATCTCATTGACCAACTACCTGAACCAGTTTAACGCGAACTACAAGACCCATTTTTCGGGGACGGACCGTCCCAGCGCAGGCGGGGTGGCGATCTTGATTCCATGGTATGACGAACGCACTGTGGCGGCTGCTGGGGCTTCGGGGCTCCCTCGCCTCCGCCACCGCACCCTGGACGATGGTAGGGCCATCATGACGAGCATCGAGAACCCTGTGACAAAGGGTGAATTCCGCATCATGAATATACACAATTACGATATTTCGGAGGCGGGTCGTACAAAGATCAAACGGGTCTGGAAGGAATGTATTGCCTGGGCGAAGCGCGACCCGTTGAAGCACACATTCATTGTTGGTGGCGATTTCAATATGACTGATGTTCCGACGGAGTCCATTTTGTATCCACAACCGAAACAAGCGAGGAGATCAGAGGCAGGCCGTGCCAACCGCTCGGAGCCGTTCTGGCGCGAGCTCTTCAATGATGCGGCGATGCTCGAGATTTGTTCGCCAATTCCGACTCACTACACTGTTGATAACAATACTTTGAGAACTATTGATCGTTTCTTTGTTTCTATTGAATCGGCCTTCGCCATTGAGACTGAGATGGGCGTGGAGGTGATCCAGGATGCCTTCACACTGAATGCCAAGCAGCTGAGCGACCATGCGATCATAAAACTTCGGATGGCTACTCGACGATCGCCTGCTTCGGCCCATCAGCGCATCCCTTCATTCATCTTTAAGAGCGAGAAGTATCGTGCTGCTCTCGAGAGATGCATTGACGGATGCAACTATGAGATGATGGAGCCGTACCGCCAATGGGAGGTGATCAAGGAACTTATGACGGTGGCGGCGGAGACTGCCCGTAATGAGCTATTGGCCAAGGAAGTCACAGGAGAAGGTGATATCCCGAGAAGAGCGACCTTACTGGCCTATGGCGCTGCGGCTCGCGCGGTGTGGCGCCAGGATGTGCGCCTGGCCAAGAAGCTGATCAACCGCGCGATTGTCGGCGAGAGGGAGCTCTGCATCGAGGCGCACGAGGTGAAGCTGAGGCAGCCCGACACGTTCCACAACCGGGTGAAGGAAGCGCAGGCAGCCATGTTGGGCCGCGAAGCTGCTGCACTGGAACGTCAGGGCGCAGGACGCACTGCCAAGCGGAGTGCGACGGTGGTGGTGCAGCGGGCGCTCCTGTGGAACAACACCAAGCGGATGCTGATACTGGCTGGTGTGAGGCAGGGCCAGATGACCCACATGACAGTGTCGGGGGCGCAGGCTCCTGAGGAGGTTGAGGTGGTGCGGGATCCCAGCTCCATGGTAGAGGCTCTGAAGAAGCACTGGGAGCCCGCCGTCATGGCTTCCCCTGCGCGTGAAGACTTGATCGGCCCCTTCCCGGATCGCCACATGCCCGAGATGGATAACGCGCTGCTGCAGATCCCCACAATCGACAACCTTCGATTCGTCTTCAGACGGGCGAAGGACTCAGCTCCTGGACCTGATCGACTCCCAGCTCGCGCTTGGCGCGGCCACCCGCAGTTGATCATGGCACTCCATAAGGTGATGGAAGAGATGGCCAGCGGGCGGCGACCGCCCGAGCACTTCAACGACTGCCTCTTGGCGTTCCTGCCCAAGGGCGACGAGCCATCGGACCTCGTGGACTGCGCGAGATCGCCTGAGTGCACGAGGCCCCTTGCTTTAAAGAGCTCGGACAGCAAAGGAGTGGCCGCTGCGGTCAACCTGTATCTAGCTGGTGTCGTTGCTAAAGAAACCCATGGAGTCCAGAAAGGGTTCGCTACTGGAAGGAAGTTTGGCGAGCACATTGTTGCTCTCGACGCCGAATGTCGGCGGGCGGGGCTCCTTCCAGCGGCGGCCGAAAGACTCCCAGGGTTCTTTAGTTTCGATGTGCGTGCTGCCTTCCCGAGCATGTCTCAACTTTTCCTCCGTCGTACGCTTGAGCGGTTTCGTCTCCCCCCCTCCTACTACAACATGCTCGACGGGTTGGCACGCGACACCCTCGGGCACGCCCGCGTGGGTGAAAATGTAGAGCCACTTTTTTCTATCACGTCAGGCGTCCCCCAAGGGTGCCCATTGTCGGGGAGTCTCTGGGCGCTTGGTTTCGATCCTTGGGTGCGTTGTCTGGCCATGGCGTTTCCGTCGGAGCAAATGGGGACCCTCGGGG